GTGTGTGTGTGTGTGTGTGTGTGTGTGTGTGTCTCACTGGACATAAATAACTTGACCTTATTATATAGTATTTTACTACTTCAGTATATTTCCAAATAATTAGACAGCACATTCTCTCTCTTGACTGTACTTCCTTTAGTGATATAACATATTTTTGGGGTCAGCTATTAAAAATCATAGTTATCAGGCTTTCAGTAAACATTTTTCTCAAATAAATCATTAAGTCGACCTTGAAGACTTTGATGGATGAAAGTCATATTTTAATGGATAGTTAAGATGACCCCGCCCTACACCCCAGAATTCTTTCCAAACTGTCATGTTTACACACAGAAAGAATGGCACACACACAATTACCACGCATTACCAAAAACATAACCTCTTTGGTACTCCTCCGGAACTTTGGGACAAATAAATACATAAAACCCATCAAGTTCCAAATGCAGTGGGGGTTTTAAAATAAATTTAAAATTAGTTTCTCAACTGTCTTTGGCTTTCATGAGTATCATGTTACTAATGCTCGAAAAAGGACCTATTGCTTAAATGTATGTGTGCATGATATGCATGTTATTTTAGCACATGCATTCCCAGCTCTATTTGCAGAAAATAGCTGTGCTTTTTAAATAAAATCAACATGCAATCATAAGCACAAGGCCAAGATTTGTTATTTCTATCTGAGCGCAACATGCAGATGTAATGAAGTGTAACATAATGCCATTCTTTAAGGGAACTGAAAACACCAGAGCCTCGTATTACTGGGAGAGGCCCCAGAGAGAGAGACTTTGAATGATTTAAATGTGCCTGCAGAAGTTAAACCACTACATGGTGTCTAGCCTTAAAGTCATGTTGGCTTCATGGGCAGCTCATGAGGCATTCAACCATGATGACTACTGAGTCCTATCCGGTTGTTCAGTCTGACGTCACTAGCCGTGTCTGGGTCTAAACTCCGCTGCAGGTCCATATATCAAACGATCACTGTGGCATTACTGAGAGTTGAAAAACTGTCTAAAGTCTTTCATCTTTAATAAAATGATCAGCGTTCTGCTCTACCAGGTGTAACAATTGAGTTTAACATCCAGGCATCCATGAAAACGGAATTTATGACATTTAAAGGAGTTAGAAGTTAGCAGGAAGTTAGCTCACTAGCTTCTATCTAAATACAATATAGCATGTCCTGACTGCGGGGTTTTGGAAACAAATTAAAACGTACAGCTCTGTTATCACTTCCAGCATAAATGAAGACAGAAAACTAAACAGCAGTAACGTTTGTAGGGTTACTGAAGTTGGGCTAGCTGGTATATAATGATGTGCTGCGTGACCGCTAGCGACACAGCTACGTTAGCATAATATAAAAAAGCTAACTTTTTTTTTCCACTCGATAAAAGTTACCGTGAGTGTTCTCGGTGGTCAGGAACAAATGTAATCGCATGGCAGGATGCTGTAAAAGGACCAAACTTCAGCCAGGAGAACAACTGAGATAATCCATCCACAATACGAGGTTAGTCATTCATATACTGCTGCATGGGCTGGGCTGTAGTTACATCCTAAGGTTTTAAAAACTGAGCTTAAATAAATGATTAGCGGTAATAAAAGCCGAGGGAGGTCAACAGTGATCACTGACTGTTTTAGGAGCTTTTTGAGATCAAATAGAAGAAAATACATAACATTAAACATGTTAACAACACAAAAGCCATATTAAACGCAGACTACTTTAGACCCGGAAGTAGGATTCGTCGCGTCATCACTGAACAACCGGATACTCCAATGTAAGCACATCACAATACTAGAAATGCAGTAGTTTGTACCAAAACCAGTATAATTACACGATTTTCAACCCCCCGAAATACAAAAACAAAATGATTGTCCTGTGTTTAAATAATTACTGGCAAATGTTTATATCTTGTTAAAGGACAAAGACCAGATATTAGGATGGTTGCGTTTACTTTGGGTCTTCATTCACAGTGAGGTTCCACGCTAACGGCATGTCAGTGCGAGGCTGTGAGTGTGTGTGTCCTGCACTCCCGTTCACATGGGCTTACCGGACAATGTCTGGTCAGGGTCAAGAGTGCTGGAAATCAACTGATTCCAGTCCCCTGGTCAGTCTAGTTTGAATGCAGAGTAACATGTAACAGACGTTCCTTAGAGGTCTGCTGGATATCAACAGTGTCAAATAAAGTTATAGCTTGGTACACAGATTACACATCAGGGAGTAACAAGTTTATAAAAAACTTTTTTACATTGTATTCTGCTGAGATAATTGCGCTCTACTGCCAAGTGATTTCATGTTTTGTAAGTTCTTCATAAAGACAAGCAAGTTTAGCAACATTTGGCAGTAATGAGGATTTTTCCAAACTCTTGAAATTAATAAGAGAAAGCTGTTTTGTGTGTGTGTGTGTGTGTGTGTGTGTGTGTGTGTGTGTGTGTGTGTGTGTGTGTGTAGGTCAGCATTTCATGGACATCTTCGTTGTGTTTTTTTTAATTTATTTTTTTGTTTTTAATTAATTTTTTTTGACAACTAACTAGAAGCTGCAGGTGACATCACTGGGTTACTCTAGAAGAGAGATTGTGGTTTCCCTGTAGAAACAAAGACGTCTATGTAGGTAAATGTTGGAATAGAGTGCCATTTGCTATTTATAACTCAGGAGAGCAGGGTGACAGACACGTGTGTGTGTGTGTGTGTGTGTGTGTGTGTGTGTGTGTGTGTACTGTGCCAGTCTTTGTTTCCTTGCACGAGCATGTTCTCCTCTACATTTCCTCAGAATAATGACGTTATTATTCTGTGTTGTCATTAAAGAAAATATGTGTGCATAGCCGCCTGTGTCTTTGTGAATGTGTGTGTTTGCTAAGGGATTTCTATTATTCCAGCCACGGCCGGCATTCGGGATGTCTTTCTGCATTTGTAGCCTAATATGGAGGAAGAGTACTGACAATCTAATACAGTAGGTGAGGTTTAATGTTTGTTCTAGGAGACACAGCACTACTGACATCATCTGTCTTCTGTACTGTTGTGTTCATGCCCAGCCTTGTCGCAGATTGTAAAAATAGTCACCTTCTGAAGAAGTCCATGCACATTATGTAATTATTCACAATGAATAAATCATCCATTTACAAAGCGAATGATGATCAGCGTGAGATGCACAATGTCAACATGGTGCTTTAAATTTCCATCTTCAGTCATTCTGCGGTCACTGTAATAAACTTTAAAAAAGCATCAGCACAGCTTCTTGGCTTAACCAGATAGTTTTGTTGTAAAACTTTAGACTTCTGGCTCGGACGGAATTAAAAGTTCAGACAAAAAAAACAAGAAAAATCTTCCCTCCTTTATTTAAATCTTTTACATTTTCCAAGGCCAACTAAAGGGGCTGGATTGGCTGCTTTTAAAGGTGAGTTTCTGGCCCTCAGGCAGTTTGCTTGACGTTATGTGGTGCACATAAACATGAATGGTCCTGTATTTCATGAAGGGCAGCAAGATTTTGAAACTGAAAGTGTGTTTTCTCTAACTCCTCTGTTAGGACTCGTGACTGAGGTAACCTACAAAATGTAGTAGCTGTCAGACATGCGGTAAAGGACTTCTTTTAACCTAAACCACAATCTTTTCTCAAACCTAACCAAACAGTGAGAGAAAAGGCAGCTTAAGTGTAAAAATATTTATTTTTATGATAGTGTGGGATTCGAGCTGCAGTCTCCTTGGTGAAAGCTGTTTGACTTACCCGACCACCACCGGCTCCTGGCTCGTAAGGTGGTCTTGTTTTTCAGACTGGAAGCAGATCGTTTTGTTTGCACGAATACAAATAAGATTAATTTTGGCGATTACTTTACAAATTCCCCTGAGACTGTGGCGTCTATTCATTTCCCTTTTGCCCATATCCAGTCAAGTGCTGCTATTGGCATCAGGCCAGGCCACGCTGTGAGTGACATTTACTTCACACTCTGCAGCCCGACATCTGAGCGGCACCCAAGATGATGTCATATGAAGTTATTTCATTGTGCTGTGTGTGTGCGTGCACGCGTGCGCGTGTTTGTGCACACATGCAAGTTTAAGCATTAGGCAGGTTTGTGCAATCGGTATTTACTCAAGCCTATTTTGTGTGCAGCTCGTGATTGTGTGTAAATGTTTTTTACCGTACGTGTGCCTGCTTGCTTTCGGAAAGCTTGTTTATGCGTGGGTGGTTATTCAAATGTGTGAATAAATAAACCGACATATGCAGGTGAATGTGTGTCACCTGCTGCAGCATTATCCACATGTGTGGTGAGATATATTTGAATACCTATATGTGCTTACAGCTCTGTCTCTTTTTTGGTTTGAGCCACTGTATATTATTTTATTTATTTATTTATTTTTAGTCATGTGTAGACATTTGTGTCTGTGTGTGCCTCATGGACGGAAACCCCCCACCCCCAAGCTGTTCCCAAGCTGTTCCCTCCCTGGATCTTGTTTTTAGCACTGGGTGAGGCAATCTTTCCCATTGACTCAGCTGTGCGATGCAGATAATCCCAACAGCAAAAAGCATGGAAGTGTGTGTGTGTGTGTGTGTGTGTCGTGTGAGTGTTGGTAATGAAAGACCTACACAGATGCCATAAATGCTTCAGGAATGCTGTTTCTACTTGTTGTGTTTACATAAACCCAACTTTCTTGATTCCTGTGTCAGTTTCTTATTATTCCTTCACTTTGGGTCTTGGTGTACTGCATTGGGCATCAGCTTAGGTAGTTGCTGAAGAGCCTTTCATGCTTTCACTGCTGTAGTTTCAAATCCTGTTGTAATTTGTCCCAAGGTTCCTGAAAGCTATTTCAAGCACAGATCTAGAAGGCCCAAATAATTTTGTGCTTTTCCGTTTTTATTGTAAAGCAATTTATATAAAGCCTGCTTCATAGCGACTCCCATGTGCTCCTTGAAATCCTAAATGTTTGTTTTTTCAGCACTTCCCACAGAGCATCAACTGTTCCTCATTGAGGATTGGGCAAACTGTCTCTCTCTCTTCACTTTATCCTTGCCTTTTCCCAGATTCCTCAGTGGCAGTGGCAGTGTCGCGCACATCCTTGCTGTTTCCCATGGATCTCAGGGTGGGAGAGCGGGGGATGCGCCCTGGTTCGGACACGGTGCTCCTCACCCCGCTGCACCCGCCTTTACACCTTTCACCATTCTCCCCACAACCTCGCAGCTCCTTCTCCCAACAACAGCTTCACCAGCAAATCCGGGTAAGGGGGAAAAAACTGAGTAAAACCATAAAAGACTTCTTGGGAAAACTTGTGTACAATATATTTATTACACTGCAGTCTTACCTGACTTTCTGCTTTATAAATGTTGCTAATCTGTGTATGTGTTTGGTGGGGTAGTTTAATATGGAACAAAGGAGGCGAGAGCACGAACATCACGAGAAACAACAAGAGTTGCAGCAGCTAAAGCACAAAGACAAGAGTCAACAGAGTGAGTCCACACACACACACACACACACCCACACACAAACACACACACACACACACACACACACACACACACACACACACACACACACACACACACAAAATTGGAAATTAAACTCTAACTTTGCTACTCTACAGGTCTCTACAAGACTCCAGCTAATATTTATTTATTTTTTTCACTTTTCATAAAACCATTTCCACAAATTTAAGAATAATTATGGCCCAGAGTACTAATCATGGCCAGAGAGGAAAGTCCCTGCAAGAGATCATCTTCATCTTTGCTACACAGTGTTTCTTCAATTGCAAAGCTGCTTTCTTTGAAGTGAGATCTAAATATAACCTGAAAAAGTGGAGATAAATATAGTTTTGCATCCAGGCACATAAAGTCCCTGGGTCAATATTGACTTGATCACTCCTAGCACCAGCTGCCACCTCGGTGTGCACACTTACACACAAGAATGGAAGCAAACATAGTCTCAGGCCTAACCGGTGACTTCACAGTGCATTGCACACAAATGCATCGACACTCGGAAGCATACATGCATGTATAGTATTTGCGTTTTATTTATGTATTTATTTCCTGCACAACTATGCAAATAATGTCTAGCTGTGAACACTGTGCTTTAGGCAGGGCTTGCTCCTCCCTTCATGCTGATACAGCTGGTAAATGTTTCTGTGGATTTGATTGGTTGCTGTGGCTGATTGACAGGCGCGGTGGCAAGTTCCTTAGTGAAACAGAAACTCCAGGAGGTGATTCTTAAGAAGCAGAAAAAGGCTGAGCTGGAAAGAACAAACGCTAACTCTCTGACTGCACCTCCTGTCCAATACAGGTAACGCAGCATGTGTGAACAAGCAGAACACAAAACACTAAGTGTACAACACAGTCACATCATAATAATAGTGTTATTCTTTAAATGCACTTTATATCGTGAATTTGAAGTAAAGCTGTACCAGGTGTTTACATGAATGGCTTGATGTGTAATTGTTGTTATGTTGTGTTTTTTGCAGAAAGCTGGGCCCTGACCCTAGCATACCCACTCTTGTTTCCTCTTCAACGCAGCCCCCTCATGAGGGTCCAGAGGGCACGCCGCTGCGCAGAGCAGGTGAAACATTTGACGCAAAATCCTATTAAGGAGAAATCTGACGAATACATATCATGGCGGAAGCTATGAATTGACACTATAGGGAAGTGAAAGTGAGTTATGACGTGAAAGACCCGAAGACAGCCTGGTCATTTATCATTTATCATTCAAATAGCAAAGTGAAATATTTACTTCAGTTAGTTCTTTCAGAAGGGAAGAAATATTGCACTGCTCCTGACTTCATGCCAAAACCGGAGGAATCAAAATCTGTTTAAAAAAATAAAATAAAAAATATATATATATATGTTTATTTTGAAAGGTTGTCTCCAACCTTTCTATCAAAAACTACTGAATAATCTTTACTCAGTCCAGAGAGTAAGAGTTCCTGTGGATTAAGTATTTGGTAACACTAACATTTTCCTGTTATGACACATTGTGAACATTTGGGATTTCATTACATGGAAATTGATTCATTTTCAGCTTTTGCAGTCAGCAAACAGCATGAAGTAATATTCCTTTGTTCATCTCTTATTCACTAGCGTCGGAGCCTAATCTGAAGGTGAAAAACAAGCTGAAGAAACACCTGAATACCCGCAAGAGTCCGCTCACCCGCAAAGACAGTGCCCCACCCACTGTCAAGCACAGAGTTCCTGATACACTGGGTAACCTTACAGACACACAAATGCAGCAATACATAAGAGCGCTGCATTATTGTAGCCGTAAGCTGTTCTCAATTATTACCGATGCGAGCAACGTTTTTCATTTGTTCATTTTTGTTTTTTTGCCTTGTTTGTTTGTTTTGTACATGATTGTTTGATTGATCTGCTGTGATGTGATTGAAACACAATCGAGCTTCATAGTCAAATATCAAACTCACCTTCTGTCTGTCTGTCTGCAGACTCGTCCCCGAGCAGCAGCAGCACTCCAGTCTCTGGCTGTAGCTCTCCTAACGACAGTCTGCCTAATGAGAATGGACTGCTGCCATCTGCAGGCGGCCTCTCACATGAGGTTTGACAAGAAACACACACACACACAGTGCTGTTGAGTCCTCTCAGTTTTACTGTATTAACTCTATCTAAGTTGACGTAATGATATTAAGTTATTTTCACACTTGTTTTAGTAAAATAGTAAAACAGGCATTTTGAGCAGGGTTAAAAAGTTGTTTTCCATGCATTGGCTGCTGCTGAGATGCTGGGTAATGATATGTTTAAATCCATAAGAGTATGGGAACACTGTTTGTCAGCTGTTTATACATAATTCATTTAATCATCAAAGTCAAAACAAAGCAACCTCTGTCACACCTGCTGCGAATGTCTGACTCATGATTTCCCAGTGTAGAGGCAGCTAGAGACAAAACATTAGCTTAGGTTTCATTAGACCATGCTGGTGTAGAGTAGCTCAAAACAGACTGAAATTATTCTAAATAATAACATTTTCAGTTATTATTAACAGTAGAAAATGTTAGACAGTATACCAGCTTTGGTTTAAAATGTGAAAATCAGTTTGTTTGTTTTTTTCACATATGGTGTAGATTAGGAAAGTTTATTTTCATCAGCACAGTTTCAGTTGGATTTCAATTTTACATCATGTTTATGTTTGGTATTCTCAGGCCCAGAAACTGCTGCTCAGAGATGGTACTCTAGCTAACTTCACCATCCAGAGTCCCTCCACCCTGCCCACCATCACACTGGGACTACCGGCTAACTCGAGGGTAAAAACTGAACTCATTTCTTACCTCTGCCAAGAAAGTTATGTTTCTGGTAGCGTTTATGTGTGTGTGTGCGTGTCATTTTGTCATTCTGTCTGTAAACGCGACATCTCGAAAGGTTTTGGATGAATTCTGACTGAACTTTTTAGGGGTGTAGAGCAGTTTCATGTTAAACATCTGTTCAAGGTCAACTTGATTATTTGTTAATCAAAAAGTGACAAAAAGCCTTATAACATAGAAACTGTGATTGAAGTTTTAAATATCGTGACACATTTGACCTCTGACCTCACAATAGATTGATATGAAGGTGAAAAGTCATAATGCGATATAGAGCTATTTAAAACTATGTTTCTTAATTTCCTTGTGTGGGTGGGTTAGGGTTGGCTGTAGCTCAGGCGATGGAACTAATCTACTACTGGTAAGGTTCATGCTTTGATCCCTGGCTGCTCCAGACTGCTTGCCAAAGTATCCTTGGGCAAAATACTGAACCACATGTTGCTCTCTGATGCATCCATCAGAGTGTCGATGTGTGTGACTGTTAGCTAGAAAGCATAGGAAAAAAAGTGGTTTTATGATTGGATGTGAAGGGGTGACTAAGTCATGTTGTAGGTAGGAGTAGAAAAGCACTACATGAGAACCACTCCAGTTACCAGTTTGTATTGACAACATACAGGCATACAGGGAATGTTATATAAGGATTCTAAATATCATATTAATTATTATGACTTTGTTATGTACATTAAGGTAAAAAAATTAATGTACACTGTTTCTGAATAAGGGTTTTTTTTTTCCTTTGCTATTTATTGCTAAACATTAAAAAAAAACTTAACAGTAAAATGAATGCTATATATTTACTATATCCCAATATATTATAAACCGTATATTAAAAAGGATTTCAGCAAGGCAAATAACAAAAGCCTGTACTTTGTATTTGTTCTTATGGCACTCCAAACTTCTGAATGTAAAGAGAACAAACAAAACAAAACAGATATATACAAAATACTTCACTGTGTCCTTGAAAGTAAAGGCTGCGCAGAGAGTGAGCTGATTTGGCGGAGGTTTGCACTATTAAATTTGTGTTATAATAAATTATCTAGACTCAAATCTGAGTGTTGAGATGACTGTGCAGTGCAGTCTGTAGTGTTACAATTAACCCAAGTCACATCACAGTGACTTCAAAATCTCTCTGAAGTGAATGAAATAATCTCTGTTTCACATATCCTGTTTTACAAAGGAAGTAAGTCAATTAAAGGAAGCTTGATTCTCAGGAGTTGCTGTTTCACTATGACCTGAAACTCTGGCTTTCTGACATTACAGCGTGATGAAATTAAAAGACACTTTAGGCGGTTATGTCACTTCCGCTTTACATCAGTGTCGTCAGAACTGATCAACACAGAAATGTTTGTCACAACGAAATGTGTGTTGTTATTTGTTGTCCTGTGAATTCATCCGTGTTGAACGTAAACTAGTGTGTTTGCTGTGACTACAAAGTTTTTTTTCAACTGTGTGTGCAGACTGAAGGAGAGCTGTCCTCGCTGAAGGTCAGCCGAGTACCCGTGGTCACTGCCGGCGGCTCTTCAGTGTTCCTCCCCCTCAGCAGAGAAGATCAGGCAGGGCAGATGAACCCACACCTACCTGTCATCATCCTGGAGCCATCTGGACTGGTCCGCACTCCGCTACTCACCGGTGAGACTCTGCACTCATCCACAGTGTTGAGGCAAAAGCTCTGCAGTTCACAGTTGAAAAGTTTTCATTTTAATGTTATGTGTGATTTATTTGCTAAACTACATCAGCATTAAAACAGAAGCACAACGCTGCAAAATATGCACATCCATGGTATTGACAGTTGTGTAACCCTGTTATTAGTTTTAGTGAATGAAATGTTACAGCACCACCTGGTGGTTACATTGGGAATGCACTTTTGTTGACTTTCAGACTATTTTTAATCTCTCACCTTTTTTGTGTGCTTCATTTGAGTAACTTTTCTTTCTTTTCATTTTGTTTGAACGTATGTCTTTGCTTTCACGCAAGTGAATTTCCTCTTTATCACCCTGTCTCTTGGCAGTTCAAGGCCTAGACTCCGTTCCGCTTCAGTTTGCGCAGCCGTTGGACCACCTGTCTGCTGGAGGTGCTCAATCACACAAGCCCCTGAGCAGAGCACGCTCAGAACCCCTTCCTCAGAGTCCCCACGCGCTTCACACACATCTCCTACAACAACAGCACAACACACAACTACTGGAGAGGCTCAAACAGCAGACACACCTGGGCAAGGTAGGAATACATGTGCACCTTTCATTGCTGTTTGAGATCATACATGATCTCCTCTTTGCCACATTTGCATCAAGACTGATAAAACTGGCTGCCTGTAACCTTTTAAACATGATTAAAGGTACACCCAGGTTTGTCATTAAGGGGGGTGTGGGGGAGGCTGAGCCTTTCTTGAGATTGTTTTATTAAGCCTCTTGTCACAGCTCATTGCCCTTCACTCGTTAAATTCACTTTACCTGCGACATCAGCCATTCTGAGCCGTTCTTTTTTTTTTTTTCTGTCTTTTTAATGGATTAAAGTGAACTGAACACAGATTCACAAACATTTTTTACTTTTAAATCCATCTTTAACGTGTGTATGTCCATGTACAGCTGATGTCCAAGTCCAGTGAGAAGCCCAGATTGCATCAGATACCTTCTGAGGATATGGACTCAGAGGACGGTGGCGGGACGTCACCCACGGAGCCAGCCTATCACAGCAGAGGGCGGTCAGAGTCGCTGAGGGAAGTGGAGCCATCAGCATCCAAGACACAAGAGGAGCAGATGAACCTGCAGCATGCCCTCATACTTAATCAGGTTTGGAAACATAGACTACCTTCAAACACACACACACTCTTGTACAAACACAAACAGGTAGTTGGGTAAAACACAACTGTGGAAATTTTTTCTTCATCATCCAGTCCTGTAGATGGCAGCCTAACACTGGCATCTGCATATTTCATATTAGTAGCAACTGAACATTTTTCTTTGTGTAATTTAACTTTTTCTCCTTTTTATTCTTTTATTATTGATAACTATAGACTGTATATCTGATTTATCTATGTTCCCTATCAATTTCTCCCACTAGTCGTTGCTATGGGAACAGCAGAAGCAGCTGCAGCAGCTCCACCGACAAATGGAGACCCTGGCAGTACCTGTGTTGCGTGGAGGCGGCGGGGCCGTTGGTGGCTTGGGCGTCCATCGCCCCGTGTTCCGTACGCAGTCTTCCCCAGCCTCCACCTCTCTCACTCTGCCAGAGAAAACCCTCAGTCTGCCTGCACAAGACACCAGCAGCAAGCCACGCTTCACCACTGGTGAGTCACAGTGTTCTAATGCATATAGCACCTTCTGTGTACAAATTTTTATTATTTTTAGGCTGGGGCTGTATAACATGTCAGATCTATCAAACAGTTGACAGGGTTTTTCCAGATGGTTTCACAAATTATGTGCTGTAATAGCTGGTCTACTCACGAGAGTTAGTTGTGTTTTATTAAATGTAAATCTTTATATTGATATGTTGACAAAAATCATAAGTGAGGAGCATGCTCAGTTAATAGTGGTTAATCTGCAACAGTGGGTGTGTGATTACTGGTGGCAGTTCTTATCAAAATGGCCATCTCGACTAACATGTTGTTATTAATCCTTTTTTTGTACACAGGCCTCGTCTATGACTCTCAAATGCTGAAACACCAGTGTACCTGTGGAGATAACAGCAGTCACCCAGAGCATGCTGGGAGGATACAGAGCATCTGGTCCCGACTACAGGAGAGAGGCCTGAAGGGACAGTGCGAGGTATGACACAGGACGGACGGACACACACACACACACACACACACACACACACACACACACACACACACACACACACACACAGGATATGGTTAGTCAGGTATCATTATTGTTATTAATAAGATATTGATTTCGAATGTATCATCATTTTATGCATGTTATGCTCGTCTTGCAGAGTATCCGCGGCCGTAAAGCCACTCTGGAGGAGCTGCAGTCCGTCCACACGGAGCGTCACGTGTTGCTATATGGCACCAACCCGCTCAACAGGCTCAAACTGGATAACCGCAAACTGGCTGGTACGCTTCACCTCATATTGATTGTGTTTAGAATCATCAAAGAGTAATTTCAAGGGTTTTAGAGTGAAAGAAATTATACTTTTATCCACAAAACGTCCTTTGAATTCAATCCCTGCCAAATGAGTTCATGCAGTGCTGATTATGCCTATCAGAACCAGTCAGATCTCTCTGTATTTGGCAGCGTACTTGGGTTTTAAATCGAGTGATGACAAAATGGATTAATTTTATTCAAACCAGTAAAGGCTGGTTTGACAGAGCTGAAGAGAGATGATCAACAATAGCAGTGAAGACAGAGTTTGTTAGGAGCTGCTTGGAGGCATCAGCAGTGGAAAAATGGTAGAAAGATTTTAAAGAAATTAAGAATATTAAATGAAGATCAGGCATGTATAAGTCTTTTGAGGGATTAAACTGTTAAAAATCTAATGGCAGGGACAAAAACAGTTTATCATCAAAAACAAGTTTTCAGTTCTGCAGTTATTCTCACTGCCAGATGGGGGAGACAAACACTCTGCACTTCTCTTTAAATATTTATATGAAATAAATGTGTTTTGGAAGCGTGTATTTGTGTATGCTGTCTTATACACAAAAATGACATTTATGGCATTATGATAGCTTAATCACAATATGCCTGATTCCTCATGACATAAAAGGATTATACAAGCTTAAAAAACAAAACAATTACTTCTAATAAATGTATGAATGCACAATAAAAATGTATATTTCTCTTTGATTTTCAGGGATCCTGTCTCAAAGGATGTTTGTGATGTTACCATGCGGCGGTGTAGGGGTAAGAAAAACCAACAATACACACCAAGACTTAATGAATGCCGTAGAAAATGCCACAATCGCTGAAATAATGAAAGTCAACACTGTTTCAAAGAAAAGCAGCAAAGACACGAATATTACAAAACAGACAGAAATAAAGAGAATATATTAGAGTGGAAAAGAGACCTGGCTCAGCCCTGCGCTAACATTTGCCTGACAGTCCAAGTCGAACCATGACAACTCAGACTAATGAGAACAACATGTCCAGGACCCGGGATGAAAGGAATGCCTTAGATTTCATCGTCTGAGCCAAATGCAGTTATGCCAGGTTGCGAACAAACAGAGGAGAGAGAAAAAAGCCAATGGAAAGAAAAATGACTTGTAAATATAGATCTGTGTTAACATGGGAGAGAAAAGTGACATGTTTACTCTCGAGTCACATTAGTGCAGGAGATTCTGTTTTAAAAAATGAGATTATTTCAGCAGCAGCGACATAAACTGTGTAGTTTTTAATGCTTCCTTCAATGCATACTGATCATTTGTATTTTTGGATCGGCAGGTTGATAATGACACCATTTGGAATGAGTCGCACACCTCCACGGCGTCACGTCTGGCAGCAGGAAGTGTCGTGGAGCTGGCGTTCAGAGTGGCCAAAGGAGAACTAAAGGTGAGACTCAAAACTCTGCAGTCATCTAACGCTGTGTGAAAGAGACAGACCACAGATGGACAGGCTAGTTTCAGACATGTAGTTTTGTTTGCAAAACTACATGTCGGAAACTAGTAGTTTCCGACATGTAGTCACCTGCGGCAATTGCAGTAAAGCACTTTATTTGGAACCACTGAGCTACTGAATGGACCGAGTTTAAAGTTGGCATTCATCGTTAGCTGTCGGTGGTAACGATCAATAAAGTTGACGTTTCTAAGCAGCTATAATATGATGTAATGTGTAGCTGTCATGATGTCAGTAAGTTGAACAACTGCTTCACCAAAAACTGCACAGCACCTTCTGAGAAACAGTATTTTAAAAACATGTAGTACAGTAAGTGTATTTATGACTTATTTAATGCTCCTCAGGCTCTGAGCTGTGGGCCAAAACAAATTAGAGAAACTAACTTGTTTTCGAGGAGGTTATATCCACCATGGCGGTGCTTTGTTTCTACGAGTAAACTAGTAGACTAGAACTGAGCAGAGAAGCGTTTCTCAGCAGAAGCCACTTCAAAGGTGATGGGTTTCAAAAAAGGGCTTTTCTGTTATATTATGGCCTTAATTGTCTTTCTTTTCCTCGTTGCACTCAAAATTTGGGATGAAAGACTTTTTTTGTTGTAAAAACATGATTGGTTTAATAAAAAAGATGAAATAGCAGGTTGACCTAAAAGGTTTTTTGTTAAAAACCCAACCAAACGAGCATGAAACAAATGTGTGAAACGAGCAGGTCAAGTACAGTGTTAAAAACAGTAAAGCAGCATCCTGGCGTTCAGCTCCATAAACTGTGCATGCTACATTCAGTGCATATTATGCATGCGCTTTACACACATAATTAGTATTAATATAATAATGTTGTTCTTATGCCTGCACCTGTGCTTATGTTCTAATATACCGCATCAGTGTATTACACTGGTATAGTAGAGCTAGCTAACAAAGCTAGATGTTACACTTAAATAGTACAAACTGCCAAAATTATAACATTTGTTGGGATTAAAAATGATCTATTAAGAGATCAGAAAGCTACTTCACTCCTATAAATGCAAAGAGCACTGATGTAAACCATCCTTCCTTACGTGACCTCTATCAGTTAGCTTGAGCCTAGCAGGGTTTTTGACAGTAGCATTGTACCTTTTTGGGCATGCGTGAGTCTTTAGTCTTGTGTGCCAAAGATCGTAGGTTCTGAACAGCTCTGTTAAAGTTTACCATGTCACAATGCTAATTAGTGGCATCTATCTCTTCTTTGCAGAATGGCTTTGCTGTTGTCAGACCACCAGGGCATCATGCAGACCCCTCCAATCCCATGTAAGTGTGTGTTTGTGTGTGAGTCATAGTTGGTTTTCCTGTTCTTACTGCGCTGTCAGCACGTCCTCTGTGGATGATTGTGAAAGAGGAAAAAAAACTGACAGAATATAATATTTTTGTGGTGGGGGTTTGTTTACACGATGTTCTTTTCTTTTTTTTAATTTAATTTTTTAAGCAATATTTGTGCATCAATAACTTTTGCAGGACTCTTTACCCTGTTAAAGAGTAAATATAGTTTGTCTGATTGTATGCTAGGGACAATTTTCATGGTTCAGAATGATTTGGAGACCAGTCGGATACCTTCTTTTAAACATTTGTATTAGTACTGAACACCTTGCATGTCTCTGAAACCAAGAATAAGGAAATGGCAAAAGTCAAAATCACACAGGTCTTTTCATTAACCAATTACCTTTACTTTTTTGTCAGTTAAAGATTAAAGTCTTTATATTCTTTGTCTTTAAACATTGGCTCTGTCTCTGTCTTTCAGGGGTTTCTGTTACTTCAATTCGGTAGCTATAGCTGCTAAACAGCTCCAACACAAGCTCAGCGTCAGCAAGATCCTCATTGTCGACTGGGTAAGACTTCCTGTTAACTGTGGCCTCATTTTACTGTGTGATACCCATCCCCTTAGAACATGACTGTGGCAACTATTGTGCTAAAGTAATCTCTCCTCATCGCCGTGGCTAGGACGTTCACCATGGTAATGGCACGGAGGAAGTATTTTACAACGACCCCAGTGTTCTCTACATCTCACTTCATCGTTATGACGACGGAAACTTCTTCCCCGGCAGTGGGTCTCCCGCTGAGGTAGGTGACATCCAGGACTGTTTGCTTCCCTTTTGAGAGAGTAATGCTATCAGAGAAGAATGACATCAATTGTCTTTGTTATTTGGCGTTTAGGTTGGATCTGGAGCTGGTGAGGGCTTTAATGTGAATGTGGCGTGGACAGGAGGACTGGACCCACCCATGGGAGATGCTGAATACCTCGCTGCATTCAGGTAGAGCCAACTCTGGCTGCGTTTACAGCACAGTGCAGCTAAATGGGTGACAAATTAAAATATAGTGATGGAAACCTCCCTGAAATATTTCTCTTAAATGTTCAGTTGGGTTGAATGAAGGTTGCCTTGTTGAATAAGATACATGATTCACATCATTACTTTCCATTGGCCTCTTGCGCCATCCATGGAAATATCTGCGTTCGCCATGCTTTATTACACAGAGTTCTTTATTCGTTAGCTTTTTCATGGAGACTGGAAATATATCAAAGTGTAGAAAGAATGAACATTTATAGGTATTTTCTCTTTTCCTGTATGACAGTAGTTTTGATTGATAAGGACAGTGTCATTTAGCACAAGTGTAATCAGTAGATTTCTCCCATTTCCTCTAAACTGAGCCACAACTGAAACACTGAAGTCGATCAGAGACTCAGCTCCCCGCTACCTCTGACGTACTTCTTGCGTAATTAATAATCCTTGTCATTTGGAGAGCATGTGTCTAGCCCTCCCTGTTTCCAATAACTTCAGATGGTTTACAGTAAATGGTCTCCAGGTCTTGTGTTTGACAGATTGCAAACCGTTACTTCCTGCTGGTGGGTTGGATAATTGTCATCGGTGGGAGTTTAGCACCAATAAAGTTTCAGTCTTGTGGGCTCTTTGGTTGTCTAGTGCTTCCAAGCCCCAAGGAAACACTGGCAACCATGTGGTTACTGGAAAAGAGGCACAGTGGTGAGCTCAAAGACATAAGTGGGGGAACTCTGCATATATGCATGTCCACAAATGTTTAAACCCAAACACGTAAGATCAAACATATTCAAGTACGTATCAGGTGGATCGGTCATAATCCGGAAACTCAGGAAATGACAAAATAGCCGTGCGCCTTCAACAGTGATCTACCAAAATATTTAGTTCTGACTGTTTACTCCCCATAATACACAAGCTCACTCTGTGTGAGTTTTATTTATGCAGTGCTCCTTTAGTTCTAGAGCATTTCTAAAAGTGCTTGTTTTAGGACTGGCTCTTAGTTTTATTTGGATTTTTGGGTTTATCCGCACATTGATAGTCAGAGCATGTCTTATATTCCAAGGGCATATGGTGACAAAAATACTTCTGTGTCGAGTGTGAAGAGAAACATTACTGTAAGTTCAGTTTGAAATTTTGTTCCCTTTAAAGCCGGTGGATCTATTTTCTGATCATTTGTATTGAGGTTTGGTCCCTTGACTTCAGTGTTTTAATGCCGTCCCTAACATTCAGGACGCTTTTGATTATCTGGGATGTTTGTACCTTCTAGAGTAACATGATTAAAATACTGATCTCTTTTTTTCAGATTTAAAACAGACTTAGTTCTTTAAAAAAATATGATCACTAACAAAATTAAATTGAAAGGGTCTCTAAAGTAATCAGATCTTACTTGAGAGGAGCGCGCTGACTCATCTGCAGTGGACACAGTGAAATTGCTTCAGAGTATCATCTTTAGTACATAACACAGATCTGGACCTAATAGAACTTCTAAGTAATTTTCTGTTTTTCACTCTGCCTGGAGCCCCATGAGGACAAAAGATCACGACATCAAAGCTTTCTCAGATAATTGCCTTCTCAGTTATTCAAAATAATACTGATGCTAATATGTGAGCTTTTCGTATATAAGTTGCAAAACTTCAGAAACTCACATTTCTTCCATGTGCAGTGAAGTATGGTGCACCGATTTTGAGACCCACCCATTCAACACCACTGTAGATTTACTACATATTTGAATTATTCTTATTGTGAAAAAAGTAGATCTTTATTTAGAACGTCAGGCTAATCGAATCAGCCTGCACGTCTTAAATGTAGCCGTGAGCTCATTTTTCTGACAGTGTTCAGAATAAATAAATAACTGTGCTGGATTTCCTGATGAGGATTAGCTGGAAGTATTTTTTTAGCTATTTTGAAAGCAAATGTTTATAATTCTATTATGATTAGCCTGTAGGTCAACATAATCCCTGTTTAAGCCCTAATGGGGAGGTGCTTTGCCTGAAAAACTTTTTAAAAACCCCAACTCCCTCACCACTCAGCCACCCAGCATTTAAAGCGCTATGAATGCGCTTTGTAATTAATAAAGTTTTTTTTTGAAAGCATCGAAGGGTTTGTGGAAAAACACAAAGTGCCGGCGCTGTTTAATAGAATCCATTTTATGAGTTAAGTTTGCAAGCGCTTAGCTGCAGAGGGGGAGCTTTGTTGTATTTTCACCTTATCCCTCACTCACCCTCCCCACCCTTAAGTTTTCCATCACCCCAACCCTCACCCACCACCACCCAGCACACATTCTCGCCCTCTTCCTGTCCTCCCTTGATTGATCTTTAATAACCGTCCCCTCCTCTCCCCAATCCTGCCCTCCCCTCCTTTCTTCCATCTTTCCATTAGTTTGTCTGCAATCTCTCTCTCTGGGGGGACCGTGGCAGCTTTAATGGCTCTACAGGGGAGGTGGGGTTGGGTTTTGCGGTCAGGCGTGTGGGGATGAGTGAGGAGTGTGCGCACGCTTTTGATTCATATCTGCATCGGTGTGATAAAGCTGAGGCCTGCTTTATGAATTACAATTTTTGGACGAATCAAAGCACCGCTGATGTGCGTTTGCATCAGTGCACGTGCGTGTTTGCACGTGCACGCTCATTTTGGAATGTGTTTGTTTTATCTCGGCGACCTTATTTCTCTCTATGAGCTCATGTTGTCCATCTGCACGCAGTCATGTCAGCAGTATGCATTTGGATATGTGCGCCTCTGTGTCTGTGTGTGCGTGTGCTTGAAGGGGGAAGGAGGGGAGGTCTCCAAAGTCCCCAGGCAGAATAATGAAGGTAAATGGATCCCAGATGGACTGTTTTTCCTCTTTTTCCCTGTGTTGTCAATGACGTGAGGAGAGTGACAAGCCTCTAATGGGAAACAGACTCGCACGCTGCAGCTTTGAACTTCTCGCCGACAGCATCGAGTCGAGCTTCTCCCCGTCTCCGGACAGTACTACTTTCTTCCCTAACAACAAGAGCATTAAGGACAATTTCATCTATTGGAAATCCACAAAGAAGTTAGCAAGTATAAGAGCTGACAAAACAACAATATGACTTTGTTGAGCTGGCTTGTGTTCCTCGAGCTCTGCAGCTTCTCCCACAGAGGAAACAATAGTTCTTTGTCAGCTGTGCTCGGGCTGCTGAGTCTGGGATCAGCCAGTACGTCGTTTCACTTGTCATGTTAATGACTTCTTTAGATTTAATGGTAAATATTTGTCTTGTGTCCAGTTTGGACATGCCCAGTTGTGTTTGAAAACGGCTATATTTCACTGAATGCTAGGGCCGGTCTTCATAAGCACCCTAATGAAATGAATCCACACCGAAGTGCTTCTGTCAGCAGTTTATTTAAACACTGAATCAACAGAGATGGAGACTAAAGCTGGTTCTTCTTTGCTTTTCATCACTTTGTGTCCTGTTAGTGCAACTTAACTTCCCCCACGATGTTTCAGTGGTGATGTCAATATATCGTTTTTTTTGTTTTGTTTTTCACGTTCATTTTGTGTTAATTTTGTCAATGGTGTTGATTTTTCAAATCAATCAGTGACTCAGTTTCCTGTTGAACTTTATAATTAAGGCTCAAATGTGCACATCAGAATCTATTGTCCTATTCCTCGACAGCAATGTGTTTCTAACAACTGTAGGCGCATGTTACAGCCAGGAAAATGACACAAAAGTACAAAACACACAAGATATTTGAGTAAAATTACACACTCCTTTGAAGACTGTATTGGAAACCAGCAGAGTCCCCTACAACCATCCCTTCCCAGTCCCTTGAAGTCATTATGAACTCTGTGTGTTCATACAGGTCTGTGGTGATGCCGATCGCTCAGGAGTTCTCTCCGGATGTAGTTCTGGTGTCAGCCGGGTTTGACGCCGCCGAGGGAAACCCCGCTCCTCTAGGAGGCTACAAGGTCTCGGCCAAATGTAAGAACAGTTTCCCACCGCCGACTGCACTTGGCCTTATCTTTTGTCTTATTTGTAGCAGGAGACAGTGAAACTTTCTGTTAAGACCCTGAGTGTCTCAAGATATTTGAGTTTCTTGAAGCTCATCTTTAGCATGAACAAAAGAGCAGGATTCAAGTTCCTTCTACTGTGTCTTGCTTCACTGCTGATATTACCATAATTACAGTAATTAGTAATTGGTATGTTGCTGTGGGAGGATCTACGGATGAAAATATGCATTTGTTTTTGGAGACTATTGGAAATTGCAACAGTTCACCTGCTAAGCTTTGTTGTCATTTAATGTTAACAACTCTGTGTGCGTGTTTGTGTTCGCCGCAGGTTTTGGTTTCCTGACCCGTCAGCTGATGTCTCTAGCAGGAGGCCGTCTGGTTTTGGCCCTTGAGGGAGGTCACGACCTCACAGCAATCTGTGACGCATCTGAAGCCTGTGTCAGTTCACTCTTGGGCATACAGGTATGACTAATGGAGTTCTTTACTAGTGTTTGTTTGTTTTTTTGGTTTTTTTTTACAGTTAGCTGGAGCACAGTGTCCCATTTTTTTACTACAGTTAGAGGGACTTGGTAGGGACAGTGTATCTCGGAGTTCGTTATTCTTTCATTTTGTACAAGTGTCACTCGTCACATCATGGATCAGCTACCACAATGTGCTCACTGAAGTGGTGCTTCCATTTCAATAAACATAGTGCCAAGTTTTGACAGAATTGATCACAGTCCTACTTTACCAGCAGATGATCAGTGCTGAAATTCTTTCCAGGGTCAGTTGAATTCTGGTTTATTGTCAGGATGTTAAGACTATTTTTAAAGGTCTTGCAAAACAGGCAGGCTAATGAAACATTCTCTGTTTAACCAGTTTGTGCATGTGTAAGCTTCAAATGAAAAATAAATAATGTCTTTTCAATTTGTAGAAATTAAATGATACTGTCGTAGCCATTTTGGTTCTAAAGATGGTGTTTTGTTGTGTGTTTGTCCTGTAGGAACCGCTGCCGGAAGATGTCCTCCTCCAGAAGCCCAACGCTAACGCAGTCCGCTCCCTACAAACTGTCATACAGATACAAAGTGAGCAGCGCTTATGTTTCATCCTCTTCTCTGCATTTTTATTTGTTGTAATCAACACTTAACCAGTGGATATGATGTCAAAACTACAATGTCTAAATTCGCTTGACATTTTTGTTACGTCTTGTGTGTTTGCAGGTCAGTACTGGCAGAGTGTGAAGGCCTACAGTGGATCAGTGGGTCTGTCATACATGGCTGCTCAGAGCAGAGACTGTGAGGAAACGGATGCTGTCAAGGCTTTGGCCTCGCTCTCTGTTGGAGTTCTTTCAAGCAAGAGGTACAGTGCATGGATACAAACACACACAGTCAAAAATCCCACTTCCTTCCTTTATATTGATGCAAACTCTCCCAGGTCTCTGCTCACATGTGCTTTTCACACTTCCCTCCAGCCTCCCTGATGAGCCAATGGAACATGACAGCGACTCCATGTAGGAAAACCCAACCAATCACCTCGCAGAACGTTCAGAAGCCTCAGATCTCCCGTGTTGTCATATGAACATGAAGGGGACACATATTTTCAAAGCCACTGAGCCCCGACCTTCTTCACACATACGCAGGCCAACTGAGACACAATGCTGAACCTCTACAGACCCGCCGTTTTGAGCACCTCAACCACTCAGCTGAAGCCAGCAGCTGAGTAACCTTCTGAAACCTCACCAAAGAGCAATACAAGTTGATTTCAATAGTCTTCTCATGTCTTCTTACTGACATTGGACCGTGTGTGTGTGCGTATTGTCAGGGCCACAGCCCTGTTACCACAAACCTTTGAGGATCAGACCAAAAATCAGAAGTGGACTTGAGCTCTGATTCCTCTTTGAGCACCAGCAGCTGTTTTTGGTGCCTTACCTTTGCCTTAATACCAACATCAGAGGGAAACTTCAGATCATAAATTCTTTCTGCCACATTGCTTCTCATATCAGACTCGAACTGAGTGGGATGAAAAACAATGCAGAACAAAACTACTGTATACCATCAGGTAAAGGCGTATATGCTTGATGGACACGATGCAAACGTAGCACCATGAAGAAGTGGCCCCATCATTAAGAAACAAGATTTAAAAAAAAGAGAGACCTAGTTGCTGCGTCTGCTATAATGATGTCATTACCTACAATTTAACCACTAGAAGAAGACGACAAAGCAAAGAAGAGGAAACAAAGACACAAAACAAAGAAAGAACGGGCAGTTCTTCATTGTTTTATTGCACTGTTCATTCCATAATGTGAACCATGAGAAATTCCAAAGCTCTGGGAAAGAAAAAAACAAACTTCTCCTCTCTGTAGATAATTGAAAGGTTTTTTGAAGATTTGGATGAAATGTTGTTTGCTATCTTTTTCCCACTCTTCATCTGAGATGTCTTAAATGTTCTCTGACTGACTGTGGACACGTCTGGGCTGAAATACTGTAGAGTTTAATTCATCTGAAAGTAGGCAATATTTTCAAAGCAGAATTATTATTTACTGCTGTTCAGTGTCTTACATTCATGTGCATTTAAAAGCCCACACACACACACACACACACACACACACACACACACACACACACAGCAATGACAAACTATCGATGTACCACTAGTATTCAATACTGTGTATTATTGTTTATATTTGAGACTAAAGGAGTGTTCATTCCACCGTGGCACCACTGAGGACCACTGTATTGTTCTATTGTAGTAGCAATACTGTTAATGCACTTAAAGGACATCACCCAAAGAAAATTGCCTTAAAACAGCCTGCACTTGGTGATGGGACTGTGTTGAAGCACTGCAAAGGACCAGTATGGATACTGCTCCCGCAGCGACTTGACTTTTGTAAAACAACGTTTAAACCTGTGGATTTAGATGAACATCACATATGCAGTCTTTTTGTAAATTGTTTGATTTGGTTAATGAGTACAGTGACTTGTTTTGTTTTTTTTTTTATTTGTTGAATATTTAGGTCATTATCTATAATCCATCACAGCCTAATTAAGGAAATGAATGCTATGTTGAAGTGAACTTCATTGTGAGAATCTTTTCATTCAAACTGTTATCATGCAATCAGCCTAGACAACGCTACAACACGTCAGTCCATCATCTAAGCTGATGTTTGTAATTTAATTGACATGTTGTCAATCATTTGACGTTTGTTTTTTTTGGGGGGGGGTTGGACCACCCTCTTAAAGAAGCATATAAAGGGCTCGGCATTCCAAACAGTCAAAGTCCAAGACTGTATTTCTTCGTTTTTCTTCTAGGTTATTTTGTAGCAAAATCTAGTTTGTTAAAGTATTTTTTTTCCCATCATATGAGGTTTGACCAGTTTCACATTTTGATGACCAGTACTAATGTTTTTAGTTGAGCTTTTGAAGGTGAAGTGTAAAGTTCAGACCTCTGTTAACAGCGAATAACTACTAGAATTCTTAACTGATCAGTGCAGTCACTCTTTAGCTTTGTCTAAAAGTTTTCTTTGGTTTTTTTTACATCCATGATTTGATTGATTGAGCAGCACAATTAGATTTTTTGTATTCCATGATTTTGATGTTTATAAATAACAAAGAATCATTTTTTTAAATCCGGGTAAAATAAACTTTAAGCATTTGTTTTAATCAGACCCTGGGTACACTCTGCCCGACAGGAGGCCTCGGAGCTTTTACCTTAAACAAAAATTACAGTGGACACCAAAATGTATTTTTTTTTCCTTTTTTAAATTTTTTATTATCCCAATGTTGCTGCATTACACGTGTATCTCAACAGGAATTATTGAGAAAATGTTGCACGGAGGATCGTTGTTCTCCGATAAATGCAGCTGGTATGTCTTTCTTGTAGAGTACCAGAGTATTCTCGACAGCAAAGTGGCAGCATTGAAACGCGATGCTGCGTCTTTCTTAAAAGAAAGTAAAGTATGAAGTCAACGTTATCTGACGTGTGTGTGTGTGTGAGAGAGAGAGAGTGTGTTGTTATTGCATGCACACTAGTACATAATGTGCATGGATTTGCAAGTGTTAAACTGCTTGTCTGTGATTCTGTAAATGACCTCTCTTGTATTATACTCGTGTTTTTGGTCTTATGTAGAGGCCAGTATTGCCTCAGCTCTTAATTCCCTTTATTACTTATGTAATTTGTACCTTCTTCTTAAAGAAAGACACTGTAAATAGTAACTCAAAGACCAAAATACACGTTGCACATGTGCCTTGATGCATTCAGTAGTATGTGTATTGGTAACTCTTAACTAACTGGACGTACAGTAACTCTGTATCTCTAAACATGACATTGAAATCTTTATTTCATACTATTCTTTATTATTTACTTATGTTATTTTCTTACATTTCCTACCATTTGTATGTATAGAAAGATTATCTATTTTGTACTTTTGTCTTTTCCTCTTGATTAAAAAATAATTTCCAGTATAAGCCCTTGATTTTTTTCCGTGTCATTTTTTTCAGAAAGTTATTTTTTCTGCAGAAATTAACACTAATAGTATACACTAGACTGTGAAAACGAAAAGACCCATCGTAAGAAAGGAAAATACACCTATGACAAACAGAAATTATGAACATAATTGACTCATTTAGTCTGAGATCTGCTAGAACTGTTTATCCATTTAATACAAGTTTTAATAAGTGTATACATGCAATATCACTTTTGATAATATATATACTTTTGATAATAAAAGTAGCGTTTAGCTGACGGACCTGATTGCCCCCACTCAATCTGATGATTGCATTTCTAAAAGAAGTGCAGTAAATCTGAAATACTGTATATAAAAGGTGGACATTTCTAGGTCAGAAAAGTAAAAAATAATGGAAGTACCTTAAATTTGCATTCTTTCTAACAGTCAGCAGGGGGCAACTTAATGATGCTTAAGGCTCTTTTGTCTGCTAGCTCAGTAAACACTTTCCTTTAATTACAAAGGAAATGACAAACTACAGCATTCTGTTTGTTTTGTAACTTATTGTTTCCATTAGCGAGAAAAATGGGAGGATAAGTCAGGCTCTGCTATGCCATGTCAGTGTCGCTAACCTGTGAGGATGTGTCGTAGCTGACAGCGAAAACGTGTCACTTGATAAGAGACATTTAAAAATACTAAATCACTTAGTTTCAAGTCCCACCTTTCAGATGGTTGTTATGGTTGGTAATTGATTGCTAATCAAACTTGCTAGCACTAGCTTAAAACTTAGGACTTCATCTGTTATCTGAATATCGTCACTTTTGCATCTATAAATCCAGCACGATGGCTGCTAACAAGCTAACACTAAAGATTAAAGTTGCTGGTGAGTGTATTTATGTTGTGTCAAAATCATTTGGGTTTATATTTTTCTGTAAACCACAGCACATCAGAAGCTGTAAATCGGGGAGCTACATATCTTAGCAGACAGATATCACAAGTCTTAAGATCACGTTATTCTTGTTTTATTTGGGAGCTTTGTCATCACTGGATAGTTTGCAATTCAGGGTTTTTGTACCGAAATTCTTCACTTAGTTTTATACTGTATGTTCCCTTGCGATCATAAAAATGAAAATAAAATACTCTTACATTGTGGTGCAAAAGCTTTATTCATTTAGTGTTTGTTAAATCATCAAGTTTCAAAACAGTAGCACAACTGAGATGATAAAGCTATAAGTTATTATTTAGGTCTAAACATACTATAAATATTTCCTGAGCACTTAATTGCACTTTAACATGTTTCTTTTGGGAAGAATTAAGTGTTCCTGACCGGGCAAAGGCACACAGACCTCGTTAAAAAACAGAAAGCAGGGGGAGGAAGGGAAAGGAAAGGAGACAGTTTAACAAGAGAGACAGGAGACAAGGAAGGCGTGGTGAGAGTATAAATCTGTGCACCAATCACTGAAAATAAGAACTTCAAGAAAGTTTTGCAGATAGTTTTATTTTTCAGGAGTTTTCTGCTTAGGATGCTTTACGAAGTCATACTGTGTCAGTATGTAAAGCATCACACTGTACACATTTCAAGTAATAAGTCATTAAAACAAAGCCTGATTTTAAAGTCTGAGAAGTGCACAAGAGATGGATACGCTAATGCTCTCTGAAATGAAAGCCTGGCTTCGACTACACAATCTTTTACAGCGACAGCTATAATATCAGCTTCTTTAAGGTACTACAGAAGGAAAGTGGTCAAAAAATGTTCTCGGTAAATGACGGCACTTTGTATGTATAGCTGATCCTCGTTTTCCCACATTACTCTGAAGCATGACATACAAAGTGCATACGCAGAAAGAAGAACAAGGAGCAGAACAGAGATTCAAAAGAAAGATCACAGTCACTTTATTCAGCAGCTGGTCAGACAAAGAAAGACATATTACTACTGTAACCACTTATACACATCAGCATTGGATGTTGCGTATATAAAGATAATTCAAAATTCCTGTTTCCAAGTAAGAATGGCAAAAGGCAGGATATAACTATATGTTATTCTTAGGCATCTCAAGCGAGAGATGAGTCACTTCCAGTTTCAATTTGATCCATAAATGAAAATTTAGAATACAACTTGAATTACATGACAACATAGAGAATAGGCAAGGCCATGCACTCATTTTAATGTTTGCATTTCACATAGAAATGCACAGGGGCTGCTTTTTCTCTGTTGGCCCACAACTGGATTCTTTCTAAATGTCAAGTGTCTTCTAACATGTCAGTGAAGTAGCCTTCAGAGACCGCACTGTGCTGACTGTGGGGCTCGGTAAACATCTCCACAAGTCTTTAAAAGAGCTGGAAACATTAGCTACCTCCCTGGGACGTTCTAATGATAGGTTGCCGGTCTTCATGTATTTTGGCAGTGAGGGGAGAAATGGATTGTCATGGATGTGTTTTGAAGCCAAACAGCATGTCAGTCCTGTTGTCTTGAAATAACTGTAAACCTTACACTTAATGTTCATTGCGTCTCACAAAACAAAAGCCTACAATATTAGAAAGAAAGGTATATCATTTGGTAATGATGTGGACTCCAATAGCATTTCCCTAGTGGAGCCAATGTATTGAAAAAAGTGTATTTTTTTAAGTGCATAGTTGCATGTGTGCACCTCTACATTTGTGTGTATAAATCAGCTCTCACCTCCTCCATCACTACCAGTGGTTTATGGGAGCCCAGCAGGGAGCCACATCAGCCTTCCCCTTTGATGGTGACACACATGATTCATGGCTTTCCGAGACCGTTTGTTTTCATTACGCCTCCTCATCAGCTCGCTAGCTGTATCGCGGTTTCGTGCAACGCAAGCAAATTCGGGCCAGAACGAGAGGAAAGAACGTCAAGGGGAGAGGTTTTTTTGGCACTGAAAGAAACAAAGGGGCTAGGTTTTGGGATGGACAAGAAACTTAAGGCAGAGTGACGGACGGCCGTGGCTGCTTTTTTTTTTTTTCTTCCAACTTTTGCTAAGGTTCAGAGGTAGTCAGGGATTCCTTAAATGTCAATGTTGGAAAACCAGGAGCTGAAAGCCCACGGAAAAGTCAAAATCCTGACAACTCTTGCAACATTCAGTATGGTGTTCGCAGTTCTTTCTTTCTTTTAAGTCCTCTGCTCTATAGATATTACACAAACCTTTATACACTTTCTACCTCAAGAAAGAAAGAAAGTTAAATAAAAAATGGCTCATTGTATGTAGACCTATGGTGATGATTATGTTACTGATAATAGTGATAATACTGATTTTATTTAAGGTGATAAAATCAGGGGTGATGGCAATGATGATGAAACCAGCTGTCATGCTTCAGTACCTGAGAGAGCTGGTGGGTCAGGGGGCTCCAGCAGAATTAGCTGTGCTGCTATGAAGCGTCAAAGACGATCGAGTCCTTAACCATCAGCTTGATGAAGCGAATGCATGTTGAATGAAAGCTTCCATTGTGATTCATGTAAACAAAATACACATGTTAAAAGAAAAAAAGAGAGAAAACAATCCCTAAATAAGCTAGCAGTCCCTGCTTGAACTCATTGCATTTGCATTCGTGAGCAGTGATAGCTGCTTTGGTAAAAGCAGATAAGTGGAATGACAATAATCCACGGTTACATCTCATAAGTTCATAACCAATCAAACAAATGCTCATGTGAAAGCTTCCTCTCATGAAGTGTTACGCTGTCTTTTCATTGAGGCAACCAGATCGCAACCGAGGTGTCAAGTAGTGTGAATCCACTAGTGAGCAGACACAGTTTGGACATCTCCTCAGCCCCTTTGCATCATACTTTTTAGGCTTCCAGACAAGGCTAGTGACCAGCAGACATGGTTGACCAGGCTCCCTCCATCCTCCAGACAGAGAAAGCATAGCTCAGTCTCTCATGGGCCAGGTAGTTACATCCTGCCAGCTTGGTGTCCATCTCATCACTCTGCAGAACCTGGTACAGAAAGTCAATGTAGCGTGACGCCAACTTAAGTGTCTGGATCTTGCTCAGTTTGTCAGACGGGAGCGTTGGGATTATTTTGCGCAACGAGGAAAAGGCTTCATTCAGAGATCGCGTCCGCTGGCGCTCCCGGATGTTGGCGATGACCCGCTGGCCGTGTGGGTCCTCGAGGCCGCTTGAAAGACCTTCAGGGCTGGGACCGGGCGCAGGAGAAAGGGAAAGCGGGTGATGCTGAGGACTCTTCTTGAGCTTTTTGGGGCCAGTAGGATTGTAGCTCTGAATGTCATCTACTGGCTTGACCTTGCCGTCGTCTGCCGACATGGTGGGTGTAATTGCGGAAATGTGATCCTCCATTTGGGCACCCATCTGCCGCTTACGCCCGGTGATCCCCGCCGTCGCAACCACAACAGGACAGGCGTTAGAAAGTGGTCGTTTGTTGTTCTCCTTGCTGGACACCACCCCTCCCTCAGGATGGTCATTTGAGTGTTCCTCCTCTCGCATGCTTGGCCACGTTCTTCTTCTATCTCCTGTCTTCTTTATTTCACTGTATCCTTCACTCTTATTTTGTCCAGTTTCCTTTAATGTCTCTCTCCACTCCTCCACCCGTAACAGCAGTTTCCCTCCCTTCCGATTGCTGCCGGGAACTCCCTCAGTACAGCCGCGGGTTTCTCTGATCTTCTGCTGGGTTCTTCTTCTTCGCCAACCAACTTTTCACATTGTCATATCCAGACATGCCAAACCAAAACACGTAAGTAATGAGTTCAGTTTTTCTGATCAGCTCTGTCGCGTTACATGTTAAAAATCTCTTCCCATACTCGCTGAGAGAACGCTGCATCAGCAAAGCTAGAACGTTCTCATGTCCCACTCCCACTGCAGCATGTGAAACAACAGCAAATCGAATCAGACTTTTTAAAGCGAAGGGAGCATGAAGCTTTCAGCTGCCCACCCATCTGACTCACTGATTGGTCCAAAGGTTTCTTTTTCTGGGGGACAGCTGAGCACAAGACAACAGAAAAAAATGAATTCTGACTGATTGGTCGGATCAAAGGATGAGGCGGAGACAAAGGTGTGC